GCCGGGGATAGCCTGGAGAGCAGCAAGAGGTGCTGGCAGTGTGGGCAGCCACCGCCCGAGGGGCTGGCAGAGGACCCTGGGTGGGTGCAGTGTCCCTGCAGCCTGGCAGTGCCCAGCTGCTCCATCAGGGCTAGGTGGGCTGCCATGCCTGGCTGCGAGCGTGGCCCCAAGCCCCCCATGCGGGTGGTGCTGTCGCTGCCACTCTGTGCTCCTGTGCTCCATAATTCAGAGCATCCACCCACCCGTGCTGCACTTGCCTCTGGCCACAGCCTGGCCACACTGGCCAGTCCTGCCAGCTGCTGGGACTGGCCTGGCCTGTCCCTGTCCCTGGGCTGGGACCGCAGGGACCTGAGGAGCTGCCCAGACTGCCGTGGCTAACGAGCTCTTTGCCAGAGAAGCTCGTTAGCAGCTTGAGGGATGACAGGAGCACAGGGCAGGTCGGTGGATGTGGGGAGCAGGGCCCAAGACACTCCAGGGCTCCACCTCCAGTGGACACATGCCCGGAGAGGCCGGATGGCAGCACAGGTGGTGCGAGCCCGGTGACACCCTGGCACAGAGCACCTCAGCATCCACTCGGGCACCCTTGGGAGCTGCTGCTTTGGGTGGGCAGCACCTGCCCCAGCCTCTGCCCCCAGGGTCTGGCTGCCCTGGAGACAGGAGCACTGTGCTGGGGTGATGCCCCATGGCATTTGCACCCACTCAGGAGGATGATTGAAGTCCTAATCGTCCTCCCCAGGGACGCAGAGGTTCTCCCAGCACGGGGACCATGCAGGCCCTCAGTCTGCAGCAGGTCCGAGCAGCGCTGGCAGCAAGGGCAGCTCCTGCCCGTGCCTGTCCTGACACTGCAGGATCATTGTCCAGCAAGATTACATCACACTGGGGGTGCGCTCCAGCACGTGCAAGGGCACAGGCACGACAGGACAGACGGACACAGGCATGGACAAACAGCCACCCCGGCCCGGAATAGTGATGCCACAGGCAGCATCTGCACGGGCACACCCACCGGTGCCAGGCTGCCTCACACCCCAGTGACCCTCCCCGCCACACCGGCTGCCACCCTGGCTCCTGGAGTGGGCACAAGCCTCGGTGCTGCCTGCTGCTCCCACCTGGCAGCTGGCCAGTCCGAGGTGAGGGTGGGACGTGCCAGCCCCTGCCTGTGCCACCCAGCCCGGTGCCCGCACCCTCATTGCTATGGCAGGAGCGGGCTCGGTGCGTGCAGCTCCGCTTAATGAAGCGGCGCGGGCCGGCTCCCTGCGAGCTCCCGCTGAGCGTTTGGCGAAATGATAACCTTGACGACGCGCATCATCGGGCAGGGCTGCTCGGGGAACGCCGCTCCCCGCGCCCAGCACTGCTCTGGCGGTCTGCAGCCGCCCGGCCACGGTGGCATCACCGAGCTGGCATCCCCGAGCTGGCATCCCCGAGCTGGCATCCCCAAGCTCGCATCCCCGAGCTCGCATCCCCGAGCTCACATCCTCGAGCTGGCATCCCCGAGCTGGCATCCCCGTGGGTACCGAGGCAGCCGGCCCGGGGCGGGTGATGGGCCCTGCGGTTCGGCTCAGAGCCCTGCGGCCGGTGCCCGCTGCCCAGCCCGTCGTGCCCGAAGGTTGGCATTCCCAGCGCCCCGCTCCTCGGGGCTCGGCGTGCGTGTCCCCTCGGCACACGCGTCCCCTCGGCGTGTGGAGCCAGTGGCCCCGTTTCCATGGTGACACGGAGCCATTTCCCATCTCCGGGATGCTCTCCACAGCTCCCGGGTGGGCGCTGCCGCCGTTGCCCTTTGCCCACGGGAAGCAGGCGGGGGTGGGCCCCACAGCCCTGGGGGGCTGTGCTCCCCCATTTCAGTCACCGGGGTGGGGCACCGTGCCCCGTGTGCCCCGTGTGCCCTGTGTCCCCCCTGTGTCCTGTGTGTCCTGTGTCCCCCGTGTGTCCTGTGTCCCCCATGCGTCCTGTGTGCCCTGTGTGTCCCGTGTCCCCTGTGTGTCCTGTGTTCCCCGTGTGTCCTGTGTCCCCCGTGTGTCCTGTGTCCCCTGTGTGCCCTGTGTGCCCTGTGTGTCCTGTGTCCCCCCTGTGTCCTGTGTCCCCTGTGTCCCCCGTGTGTCCTGTGTCCCCTGTGTGCCCTGTGTGTCCTGTGTGCCCTGTGTGTCCTGTGTCCCCTGTGTGTCCCATGTCCCCCGTGTGTCCCATGTCCCCTGTGTGTCCTGTGTTCCCCGTGTGTCCTGTGTCCCCCCTGTGTCCTGTGTCCCCCGTGTGTCCTGTGTGTCCTGTGTCCCCCCTGTGTCCTGTGTCCCCCGTGTGTCCTGTGTCCCCTGTGTGCCCTGTGTGCCCTGTGTCCCCCCTGTGTCCTGTGTCCCCCCTGTGTCCTGTGTCCCCTGTGTGCCCTGTGTGTCCTGTGTCCCCGTGTCCCCCGTGTGTCCCATGTCCCCTGTGTCCCCCATGTCCCCCGTGTGCCCCATGTGTCCTGTGTCCCCTGTGTCCCCCGTGTCCCCCGTGTCCCCCGTGTGTCCTGTGTCCCATGTCCCCTGTGTCCCCCATGTCCCCCGTGTCCCCCGTGTGTCCCGTGTCCCCCGTGTCCCCCGTGTGCCCCGTGTCCCGTGTCCCCTGTGTCCCCCATGTCCCCTGTGTCCCCTGTGTGCCCCGTGTGCCCCGTGTGTCCTGTGTCCCCCGTGTGTCCTCGGGCTCCTCTGGGGTGGCCGCAGTACCTGACCTCATCCTCGTGCTGGGGTGTTGGGGGGGGTTTGGGGCACGCTCTCGCGGCAGGGTTGGGTGGGGGCAGCGTGGCCGGGTGAGGGATCTGATGCCAGGAGTGGGAACGCCACAGAGCTAAAGGGGCTGTGCCCAGCAGGCTCATCCTAGTGCCAGGCTCATCCCTGTGGTGACAGCGAGCCAGGCCACGGTGGGCACTGCCATGCCATGCTCCCTCCTCGCTGCCTGCTGCGGCTCCCAGCCCCTGGCACCACTCGGCTCTTTATCCTGCTCTCCAACTCCGTGCTGCCTATTGCCATTTCCCATCACTTGCTATTCCAGGTGATAAATTTTTCCTCCCCACTTTCTGAAGGTTTAACTCCCACCCACCTGGGACACCCGACATCCTCACCCCCCGCTCCTCCCCACGGGCAGCCCAGCTGGTGTAGGTGGCACCGGGAAGGGGGGTAGGGGCGGCCCCGAGGCAGGGGGATGGCGAGACAGAAGGGATGGGCTAATGGAGCCCATTCCTTGAATAGATTCAATTTCTGCCGCGGCGGCTGCGGGGTGCGGAGCCATCAATTGGATTCAGGGGACGGGGAATCTGATTTGGAGCGGCCGCGCCATCAATTAGCCGTTATTGATGGCATTGCTCATTGGAAGTCGATGGGATTTGAAGCTGGTGGCAGCTCCTGCATACCAAACAACGCTGCCTCAAGGGCAGGGCCCAGACCCAGCACCCAGCACCCACGCTGGGGGTCCCACAGGGACTCCCTGGCCTTGTCTGGGAATCCTCTGAGGGTCTGGGGAAGGGGTGCTGCAATGGGTAGCCCCCTTCTGGAATTCCTGCATGGGTTCCTGCAAGGCACAGCCCACCAGCATCCCTGCACGGGGCTTCTCCGGGGCACAGTTGTCCCCCAGCATCTTTCTATGGGGGCCCTTTGGGGGATGCCCCCACCCAGCATCTCTGCATGGGGGTCCCAAAGGGCATGGCTGCACCCTGGAATCCCTGCATGGGGGTCCCGCAGGGCATGGCTGTGCCCTGGAATCCTGGCATGGGGACCCTGCAGGGCATGGGGGTCCTGCAGGGCATGGCTGTGCCCTGGAATCCCTGCATGGGGGTCCCACAGGGTACAGCCCCCCCATCATCCGGGCATGGGGGTCCCGCAGGGCATGGCTGTGCCCTGGAATCCTGGCATGGGGACCCTGCAGGGCATGGCTGCACCCTGGAATCCCTGCCCGGGGGTCCCACAAGTCACCATCACCCCTGACATCCCCACACGCCGCTCCTACAGGCATCGTCGCCCCCCAGCACCCCCGCAGGGGGGTACTTTGGGGGATGCCCCACCCAGCATCCTACACGGGGGTCCCTTGGGTACCGCATTCCCCAGATGGTCTCACCCCCTCCTGGGGAGGGTCGGGTCCCCCGGGAGATGCCCCCCCGTGCCCTGGCAGCCTCTGCGTCCCCCTGGGGCTGGGGCAGGGCGGGGTGCAGGATGGGGTGCACTGGGGGAAGGGCAGGCAGCCGGGCTGGGGGAGGGGAGCGGCACGGTCGATGCTCTCGCTCAGCCTCTTGCCAAGCAGCTTCTTTCTCCCAGAAGCCATAAAACCTGTCTGACGTGCCCGGCACCGCTGCGGCAGGCGGCCGGCAACGCCTGCGCGGCGGCCAGGGGCTGGGGGGCCCTGCTGCAGGCGGCCCCGGGGGGATTTGGGCCCCTCTGGAGCCCCTCGGGAGGGCAAAGCAGGGGGCTGCACTCACGGGATGGGAGACCCAGAGCATCAGGGAACTCTCCCACCGGTTGGCAGGCCTGGGGCATGTGGCAGAGCCGTGACTGTGACGGGGACCCGGCTGTGCCATGGGATCAGCCCCCGCTGATCCCCGTTCCCCCTGCAGCTCCCCAGACCTCCCCATTTTTGGCGTCTCACGGGGCGCGTAGCAGATGGAGAGATGGACAGAGAGTGGCTGCTCTGTGGGCACCCCGACCACACCCAAAGGTGGCAAGAAGGACCAGGGTGCCTGGCTGGGGGCTTTGGGTGAGTGACCCCCGAGCCCACTGCCCCCTCACCCCCTGTCCCATGCTCATCCCACCACCAGGTGTTAATTACCAGCAGCTCGTCTGTAATTAAAGCTCTCCCGGTGACAGGAGCTGACGACTCAATATCAAACTGCTGCAATTAAGCCCTCGGCCATGGAGGCTGTGCAGGGAGAGAGGGGCAGGGACACTCTGGAGGGGACACCCTGGAGGAGCCACCCTGGCACCGGTGCGGGCATGGGGGGCACGGGCAGGGGGACGGCGGGGGCCGCACGGCCGGGGCGCAGCGATCTTGCAAATATTGTATTGCTCAGTCACTACCAAGGGTTAAAACCGAACCGAGGGGACGGAGGAAAGCGTCTTCCCAGAAGACAGATCAGCGTGTCCCCGCTGGAGGAGGACACGGCGGCGGATGCCACCATCGGAGCTGCTGCCCCGCTCCGGGCTCGGGGGTCCCTGGGCCCCGGGGGTGGGGGTCCGTGGGGAAAGGCACGAGATGAGGCGATGGCCGTGGGGCAGAGAGGCGCTCGCTGAGGGGACCCCAGCGCCGGGCGGGCGGCCGGCGGGCAGTGCCAGGGGGGCGGCGATGCCGGCGCGAGGACTCGCGGCAATCCCGGCGACGGAGGCGATGCCGGCGGCGAGCGGTGGCCCTGAGAGGGAGACAGCCCCGGCCAGGGATGCTTCAGGGCAGCAGGCAGGCGCTCACCCACGGGAGCCCCCGCTGCCCCTCACCTTCCAGCCCGGAGCTCCCGGCCCCAGCTCGGCTTTGCGGAGGTCCAGCAGGCGGGTCATGGCCTGGGGCTGCCCCACGGGCTCGGGGGGTTTGGCTGTGAGGAAGAGTCTGGAAGCGGCGTCGGGGCACGAGAGCCCGTCCCCCCGCCAGGGACAACGCCGGGGTCAGATCCAGAGCAGGGCCAGGAGCACGAGCGGCAGGCACGGGCCGCAGGGCGGCGATGGGAGCGCGGAGCCCCGGGCAGGAGCCACATCTGCCGGGGCAGAAGCAGAGGTCAGGGCGAGCCGGTGCCCGGCCTCCCAGCCCCACTCCCGTACTCACCAGCCCCGCTCCCGTACTCACCAGGCCCGCTCCCGTACTCACCGGCCCCGCTCCCGTACTCACTGGCCCCGCTCCCGTACTCACCAGCCTCCCAGCCCCGCTCCCATACTCACCAGCCCCGCTCCCGTACTCACCGTCGGGGCCCCCACGCCCTCGGGGCTGCGAATTTGGCACCTCCGTCACCGGCTCTGGCGCTGTAAAAACCCCCCACGGCTGTCAGGCACCGGCTGCCGCGGGTTCCGCGGAGCCGCCCCCGAGGCTCCGGGATCCGCCGAGTTTTGGGGCACGGCCCCCCCCCAGCCGGACTCACTGGTGCCTCGGCAGCAGACGGTGACGCGCAGCTTCAGGCATCGTCCGGCGCTCTCGGGGCTGGGCACGGCTGGGCGGGGGGGTCAGCGGGGACCGGCTCCGGTGCGGCCCCCCCGGGA